ATCTATAGGAAAATGCATACATTCAATTAAAATAAACACTATACTATAGCTATGTGGTAAAGATTAATTTAGTGGAGCAAAATTCTATCAGAAAGTTTGGTCAAGTTGTAGTTTTTAAAAGAGCCTAATTTTTAAAATATCGAAACAAATACTTTGGGCTTATTGTGTAGACAGACAAGATATCATGGTGCATATACCTCTCTTTACAGCTACTCCCTGCTCAAAACATTCGAATAAAGACAGAAAGAAGACTGCAAATACAGCTTCAATTTGACTTCATGCTGAAATATCCATTATAGGTCCTCTATTGTAGGCTGGTTGTACTGGCAAAACAAAAAGTTGTTATTATCATATTCATTCAATACTTAATATGTGACAGTCAATGTTCTAGGATTTTTGTATATACAATTTCCTTGATGATTTCAAGAACTCTAGGAAGTATGTAGATAAAGAACCTGAGTCTGAGTAACATGCCAAAGGTGACACAGCTTATGAATGAACGGTCAGAATTCAAATATCTTCTTTTTGACTTTGAGATATTGCTCTTGACCACCATATTACAATGCATTTACTATTCATAATAATAGCCATTATCCCACTTAGATGAGAATACTGAGGCTCAGAACTCAGTGTCCTGTCAAAAATATTTCCTCTATGGAATCGTCCACTGAAAATTGAATCAGGTTTAAAATTAAATCAGGTTCTCCTCAAATCACCTTTCCAGGCCGGGCATGGTGGCTCATGCCTGTAATCCCAGCACTTTGGGAGGCCGAGGCAGGTGGATCACCTGAGGTCAGGAGTTTAAGACTAGCTTGATTAACATGGAGAAACCCCAACTCTACTAAAAATACAAAATTAGCTGGATGTTGTGGCACCCGCCTGTAATCCTAGCTACTTGGGAGGCTGAGGCAGAAGAATCACTTGAACCCGGGAGGCGGAGGTTGTGGTGAGCCAAAATAGCGCCATTGCACTCCAGCCTGGGCAACGAAAGTGAAACTCTGTCTTGAAAAAAAAAAAAAGAATCACGTTTCCAAATTATACTTTGCCACTAATAAGTGTAATTGGGATTCAACTTCTGTCCTTGATTATAAAAAGAAATGATACATTGAAACCAATAAAAACAAATGTTTCATTCCTATAGTAATCAAGAAAAAGTAGCTCTGGTTGGAAAAAGCATTAAACAAAAAGCCCTGAGTTATTTTTGGCCCATACAGTATCCCCAACAAACCTTCTCCCTGTGGACATAGAGCAGCATATGGCTGTTCTTTTCAGAGTTCAGGCTCTTCTGTTTACTCTGAACCTCTAGGTTACAATATGTTTTGTAATCACTAATAAGGACCACCTGCCTCTTGAGAGATTCTGCCTAACAAAATAGAGACCCATTGTTACTCACTCTCAGGTAGACAATACACCCCTCATGTGTGGGCTGAGATTACTGAGTAGAAAAATTAAACAAATTATGCTAATTGATTGTAATTGCTAAATTAAGAACATATGTTAGTTTCATAAAAAAAAAAAAGAAACAATAGTGTTTGGAACAATAAAGACAATGCTTTTGAGGAAATGAAAACCCAGATGTATTTTCCAGGAAAAAGAAAAAGAATAATCTACTTATTTAAGCAATTCATTCAATTCACTAAGATATACTCAAGGCAAATTTACTGCATTCAAATATGCCTAACCATATACCCTATTTGTACAAATTTATACTATGGTTGAATTCAGCCAGAAAAACTGGCTCTTTGAAAACAAGCAGAGTTGAATCCAATAACTGACTGATAAATGCTTACCATTGAGAATGTGAAAGCTATCATAAATCTGGTTTAATAGAACAAAAAGAGATAGAGTATATGGAGAAGAGTAAATCCTCCTCTCAGTATCCTCCTTTGTCCACAGTGACAACCCCCACCAGAGGTCTGGACAGATTAGGAGCCTCTCTCTAGGCTGCCATTGCAAAACCATACATATACCTTCATCAGTGCACCTACTTCATTGTGCTAGAATGGTGGGTCTGAGTGTTTGTCTCCCCTTCTAATCTCCGAGTACTCTGAGAGCAGGGCTCACATATTCACTCTAGTCTCAACACCTGTCACAGAGTATGAGCACAGACTGAATTTATCAAATCAATTCAAAAAATAACTGCCTAGGTGATGATACCTATCCACATGGTAACATAGGAAAATAAATTTATCTTATATAAAGTTTACTTTTTGAGTGTAGAGGGATTTTCCAAGTATTAAGGCCAATATCTAAGACAAGCAGAAAGGACTGGCTGTGGGGACAAACAGTCAGCATTTTAAATACAGAGATTCTCTCTGAACTTCCTCACATAAACTCAAGTGCCTCTTCTAATGGGAACTTCACTTTACCCAGTACACTCATTATCTCTCAGGTCTCCCACTGACCAGGTAGAATATTGAGATACTGGATTAATCATAAGTAACATTTATAAATCTCAGATGTACCAAACACTGGACAAAGTGCTTTATTGTATTATTTCATTTAATGCTTATTACAACCACATAAGGTAGGTCCTACTGTTTTCACTTTAGACATGATAAAACTGAGGCAAATAATTTGTTTAGTGCTTTGCCTAAGATCTAACCAGAACATTAATACATCGGTAGCTTGCCCAGCACTCTACTACTCCACCTTCAAACAGGTGACCAATCCAACTCCTAAGGAGGAAGATCATTTGTTTTGTCCTGATAATCCTCAGAATTCAATTCTTAATTTATAACCCCTCCCCACAGTCCAGTTTATTGTTTTTTCTTCTAAGAGCTGCATTTCCCCTGTTTCAGTAAAACCAGCAATGCTATCTAGTTATAAATGATCATAATCATGCATGAGAAATAATTCTCACAAATTGTTTTGATACATTTTATGAACGATAACACAGTCATAAACATAAAACTTTCATGCACTGTTAACTGTACATAAAAGAGCAGCTTAAGATTCAATAGGAAGTTTTATGACTACATTATGCATATATGGAGAGATGTGTATATATGTGTATTTGTGTGTAAAATTATGTCAAATGTCTTGGTATTGTATGTTAGTGTATATATTTCTCAAACATTGAATTTTGTTGCGTAAATCCCTAATCATCAGAATATATTAATAATAGGCAGTCTGACATTAATAAAAGTCAGATAAAAAGTAGCTTTCCTATCTTGGACCTTGTCAAATCATTACTGTCTTATTTCATTTCCCATAGGTCCTCTTTCAAAAGGGCTTCTCTCAAAAAGCTATTGATTATCAATAACCTGTGACATTATCAAAGTTATGTTTCAATAAATGTCAATTTGGATCACAGGACAATGGATAAGATTGCATGAAGCACCTACAAGTAGTAAATTATTGATAGGTGGTCTTATATATCACTACAATAGCTGTAAACATAAGCTGCCTGTGCATTCAGTGCATAGCTGGCATAATTATCAGGAAGAAAATAAATCATCAACTGTATAGTTTTGTAATTTCTCATAGTCTACTTTTTTGAAAACTTGGGTGACTGGTGCTGCATAGTCATATCACTTCAGGGGACATATTTGGACATACAAAACAAAAAGTTGATTAAAACTATCAAATTGATGTCTTCTGAGTAGGTTAAAACACACTCTCACAGTATTATGGTAACTCTGGGAATCAAGAAGAGGAAATGGTTTTGTTAGAAGAAAGTGAATTACACATTAAAACAACAGAACAGAAGAAGAATACTTTCCTAGTTTATTTGAAGCATTTTAAAAGCAGCTTACTGTCTACAGAACATCACTGTTCTCATAGTGATTTCCTGGCCACCAAATTTCTGTGACTAGTCCTACATTTCCATGGAAGAGATGATGTATGAATGAACTCCAGTCCTCAGCTGAGACTACAGAATGTGCAACATACTTCTCTATACCTAAAAAAAGCCACTGTGCACTAATTGGGGACAAGAGCTGTTGAAATGCGAAAAACTTTTTTACCTGGTAGTAAATAGATGCTGCTCTCCCTGCCCTCCCCACCCCAGCATCCACAGCCATGTGCCCTGATTTCCTGGACCTTCTTTATCCATCAAGTTCACAAGTGGTTTCCTGCTCCAGAGCCCCTTAGCAGTCCTGACTGATGGTACCTAGCAGCTCTCCCCAAATCCCCTAAAGACCCCTGCCCTAAGAGAGCTCCTCTGAGGGAAAGCCCACCAGCCTGGCACACCTGATGAAGCTCTTCCTCCCTACTGCCATCCCCGTGTGCTATCCCCACTGGGTTCCTGCCAGATTCCAGTGGAAAGAAACAGAGCCCTGGGTGATGGTGTGGCACCTGGCAAGTAAATATCCTGGTGCTTTTGGGCACCAACCCTAGCCCTTAGGAGCCTGCTTCCAGCTGGGCTCTTCAAGTCGCCCTCACATGGCCACTTGTGGAAACTGCAGAATTAATGGACCTTGGACCTAAAGAGTGCCTGCAGTAGGCAACAACAGCAGGTAGCTCTAAAGGCTGTTAAATAATCTGAACATCACTCTTGGATACATCAACCTTCCCTGGCATTGCAATTGAAAGAGGCAATATAAACACAGAGAATGATTCACTTCCATCAATCAGATATAGCCAGAAGGTCTCACCTTGTGATATGGTGAAGGTGATGTGCCCTTTTTTAAAGCCCAAATTTATAAATGAGGGCATATTCAGTCAATTCCACTCTACCTCCAACACACAGACATACAAAAAAATGTGCAAAGATTACAATAAATTATACTTTAGTAAAAGGGCAAAATTTCTCTAAGTGTACAGTTAATTGCAGAAAAAAAAATCAGTTCATTAAATTCTTACAGATATCAGGAGATTTCTCTACAGAGGCTTAAGAATGTCCATAACATTTTAAAGTTGAAGGGAGAATCAAGTCATACATTTTTTAAAAGTTTATTTATGGGGAACATCTATTCTAGCAAAAGCTATATACTTAAAAATAAAGCATCCCTCCTGGAGAGCTATATACATTAATATACGTTTATAATGATACTTGCTTTTAGATGAAGCTGATTGGTCCAGTGGCCGATGACTTTGTACTCTGTGCTTTTGTTGGTTATTTGATACTGGAAGATATCATAACGTCCAGGAGCATCTCCATTTTCATTAAAAGTGACGGGTGTGCCAGCACTGCCTATAAAGATTTAGAAAACAATATTAATAAAGTTTTAGTAAGATAGCCCACTGGACTTATTTTTCTCTTAGAAGAAATGGTAGATAAAAATATATTGTGTAAGTGATACAAAGATTGCAATCCATAAAAGGTCATTCCTGATAGCATAATACCTTTCACATGAAAAAAAGCCCCAGACTTACATACATGAATAAGATGTGCTTTATTGTACACATTAGAAAGTAAATGATGAGTAGCCAAGTTAAGCAATGTACATAACAGCTAAATAAATAAAAGTTGATAGGCTGAATATTCAATACTGGTTACATAGAATGGTAGTTAATAGAGAAAAATGTAAATGTTGTGAAGCATGACAGCTATTTCACAATACAAAGTACAAACAGCAATTTGAAATACGGCAGGAGAATGTTCCGGCCAGAATTCTGAGAGTTTTACTTTTTCCAAACTCTCTGAAGCAGTTGCCCTTTGCAGTTCCTGTGCCTCTGCTACCTCTGCCCAGGAATATATAAATGTGGTCTACTGTTGGGAACCTCTCAATGGGTGAGACAGTGATCTACAGTAAGTCCCAACTCTGCTCAGATCATAAATGTTCTCCCCTTCACAGTGACACATCTAACAGTGGCAGAGCAGCAGGATGCAAGGATTGCAGTCTTTTCTAAACCCCATTCTTCTCTTCTCGGAAGTTTTCATCTTTTCTCTTAATAGTTTCTGCTCACTTTTACTTTCCCTCTTTTTTATCGTTTATGCAATTACAGGGGAGGAGTAGAAATGGATCACCATCCCAATGTCTTGTTTCACCTAGCTTTACTATCTATGTAGACTTTCCTTTTCTCCAAAAGCTTTTAGACTTCTCTTCATTTTTTTTTTATTATTTTTTCCTATCTTGAAAAATTCACCTGACACCAATTCCTTTTCTTGGTATCTATCTTCTCTCTGCAGGCCCCTTCTCTGAATCTCTTCTCACAGGATATTGAATTTAATTTCTATACTGTGCTAAAGAGTTTCCCCTTCTTATCTCTGTCTCATACTGTTTTCTCAAAAAGTATACATTACTAATAGCTATATATGTCAACTGTACATATTCTCATTTTATGAGTTTCTTATCCTATTTGTAGAGTTGCTTAACTACCAGCCATCACAAAATTCTAAAGTATTTAACTTATCAAACAAATCAACGACTTTATATATAAAAAAAAACAGTAACCTGTAAATACATGTAATCACAGTCACACAGCAACAATTTGAATGCCTTTCCACTATTTAATGGACAGATGTCTAATATTCTGTTTTCTTGATTCTTCCTAAAATCGAAACATGGTGTGAGTTTTCTGATGAGACTACAGATATCTGGTATCATCAGGAACTGCTGAGGCTTCAAGAGATGGCAGCACATGGAAGAAAGAGCACCAGTCTCAGAACTGGATGCTCAATGTCCATGCTAACTCCATTCCCCATTTATTTCCACAAGTTGTGTATGTCCCTTTTTCTTCACTTACCACATAGAGAATTCACAATAAATGTGAATAAATTTTGAAGTCCTAAAAGGACTGTAAATATGTAAATTATTATTCCTATTATTATTAATTCACATGGAAATGACTTTATATATATATATAGAGAGAGATATATATATGTATATTACTCGGGGAATAAAATAGGAGCTCTCCAATCAAGAAGTGCTATCTTAACTACTCCTTATATATTCAGGTGGAACCCATTTGCCAAACATGACCAAAAACTTTCTGAGCTCCTAGGTTAACCTCTTAAATCCTCAGTTTCTTCATCTGTAAAATAGGGGTAATAATGATACTTTTCTTATGAAGTTGTTGTCAAGTACTTAGAACAGCATATGGGGAAAATTCAATTATTCAGCCCACATTTACTTTCAGTGTACACCAACACACAGTAATAGAAAGGATGCTGATAGCTCTCTAAGTGATGGCTAGACAAAAGATGATCGAAATTCAAATGAGGAAGATATTTCTGGCTGGAAAAACACATATGTTATGAACTTCACATTAACATAATCAATTCCTGACATTTATATATCACTTTGAAATATTTTAATTGCATATTCGCTCCTGAATAAAGGGATACTTAATTTTCTCTACTTAAAATATCCCAAGTTGCCACCTCCTTGACTGACTGATTCCTTTCTTCCATAACAGCAGTTCCCAGTCTTTTTTACAATAACAGTACCCAAGATGAAATAATGTCATTTATATAACACATTACCATGAATATACCCTGAGTTATATACAATTCCTAATGTGCTAGCTGTTTCTATATCCAAGTCAAGAAAGCCTCTCAAGAGAGCTCATTGGAGAGCTACATTGTCACAAAAAATAATAATTTCCAACTTGTTTCAGATTCTTCTTAAGAGTTAATACTAATTACTGCAACATGGATATATATAAGCTGGACTTGAGAAAGTGTAATCATTATTCAGAATTGCACTGAAAAAGTATCCATGTTTATTTACCTTGGCTAAAACATACAATTCGTTTTCATAAAAAACAAATATAGAAGTATTAAAAATGTGTGCCCAATTTTAGGTTGAAAATGGCTTTCTTTAACTAACTGTTTTGGTGTTAAAAAAAAAAAAAAAGACAGGACAAGAAATGCAGTTGAATGGTATTTCTATTCTCTGAACCAACTCTCCTTCTTGATCTATCAGGAAACTCAGCTAACAATAGTAATTTCTCCTGTGGAAATGTCTTTATGATCCTTGGATTAAAGGTGCTTTAAGATTGCAAAGTGTCATTGTCATTAATGAATAGCACGATTTGAGAAATAGAAATAGAACCTATAATTGCATTTATAGTACTCAAATAAGCTGATTAAACTTTTAAAATAAGAAAAGATCCATTATTCCGTGATATACATCTCAGGGAAGCAGATGAGTCAGGAGGTTTAAATAAAATCTCTTGTAAGAAAAGTAACCAAAGAGACTATTAAAATATCAAATGTTCTCTTTGTTCAACACCCGCCTATGAGGGAGGGAAGCATCACACACTGGGGTCTGTGGGGGGGAACTAGGGGAGGGACAGTGGGGGGTGGGGAGTTGGGGAGGGATAACTTGGGGAGAAATGCCAGATATAGATGATGGGGAGGAAGGCAGCAAACCACATTGCCATGTATGTACCTATGCAACGATCTTGCATGTTCTTCACATGTACCCCAAAACCTAAAATACAATAAAATATATATTTAAAAAAATATAAATATCAAATGTTTGGCTAAAGGAAAGAAATGAAAAAGAACACATAACAATTAGGCAAGATTAAGTAATATATCTTAGGAATCTGAGAACAAACCAAAATATGTTACAATACCCTGAATCTAATATATTTTCATTCTGTAACAGAAATTCTCTCTCTCTCTCTTTTTTTCTTTTTTTTTTTTTTTTGAAATGGAGTCTCACTGTGTTGCCTGGCTGGAGTGTAGTGGTGTGATCTTGGCCTAATGCAACCTCCCATTCCTGGGCTCAAGTGATTCTCCTGCTTCAGCCTCCAGGGTAGCTGGGACTACAGCTGCACACCCCCATGCCCAGCTAATTTTTGTATTTTTTTTAGTAGAGATGGGGTTTCACCGTGTTGGCCAGGATGGTTTCGATCTCTTGACCTCATTATCCGCCCGCCTTGGCCTCCCAAAGCCCTGGGATTACAGGCATGAGCCACAGTGCCCAGCAGAATTTTTTTTTAATGGATGAGAGGTTTCTCTGTTTCCCAGGCTAACCTCGAATGCCTAGTCTCACCTCATCATACACCAGGACAATGGGCCTAAGCCACCGCAGCTCTCCTCTCTTCATCTATGTACTTGAAGCCCTTTATTGTTTCTTCTGGGGGACATTAAATACTTTATATATAAAAATGTGTATATATATGACTTAAAATGTGTATGTATGACTTAAAAAGGACTGTGCCTTATTAATCATTGTATCTCTAATAGCGATGAGTACATATATGAGAGAAGAGTGTGTGTGTGTGTGCACATGTGTGTACATATAGTCAAACCTTTTCAAATCTGCTGTACTGGGAAAAGGTCTTTCATCAACTATTCCACTGTGTTGGTGGAAAAGAAAGATTCTCTTTCCATCTAGATTTACAAGAGTCACATTTATCAGTTTTTATAAGGAATGCTTTCATGGCTTGTATAAGAATCTCTTTTGTACCCCCAAGTCTAAAAGTTATTAGTTAACATTTTTACTAAGAGTTTTTAAATTTTGCTTTGGATATTTTGACTTAATATACCTGTAGTTGACATCCCTACCATGGTAGGTGTGGGATATGAGATAGAAACTCAATTTCACTTTTTTTCCCATATTGATAGCCATTTTTCTTCAGTTCTTTTTGTTAAATAATCCCCTCTTTCCTACTGGAGCAACGCTTCTGTTTTATATCTAAGATCTGTAAATGGATCTTGTTCTGACCTGTCCTACAGCATTCACCCATTTGTCCATCCTTGACCCAACACCAATGGCCAATATAAATACTAAAGTTTTAGAATAAGAAACAGCAGTATGACAAGTTTCCTATTTTTTTTTTCTTAGAAGTGTTCTACCTTCTCTTTAAGCTTTTCCATATAAAATGTAGAACAATCTGGCCAGCATGGTGGCTCATGCCTGGTGGCTCATGTCTGTAACCCCAGCATTTTGGGAGGCTAATGCAGAAGGATGGCTTGAACCCAAGAGTTTGAAACCAGTCTAGGCAACAAAGCAACACTCTGTCTCTATTTAAAAAATTTTAAATGTAGAACCATCTTAACAATTTCCATGAACAACACTGTATGGGTTATCATTGGATAATTTATAAAATATATAAATCAATTGAGAAAGATTTAATATCTTTATATTATCTTCCTATCCATGCATATTACTTGTTTCCATTATTTAGACCTTCTTTTGTAAGTCTTAAAACAGTTTTATATTTTTCTTTACATAGCACCTAACCATTTTTGTAAATTTATTCCTGGATAATTAATATTATCTGATACTTTTG